CTTAAAACTGTAATATTATACATCCGGAATTTTCCATATTATAGGTCATTGGTGGGGTGGGGGGGGGGGTACTCGAACATTTGAAAATAATATCGCGTTACCAGTTTGCCCTGTTAACAATATTTTATTATTGAACCGACGCAACAACGTACTCGACGATTAAAAATTTTCGTCTGATTCGGTCTTGAAGATTTATAATATACAGCGAAGTAGTGAAGTACGTATACATATTATAGCATATATTATATTAAAACCATAATAATAATGTAGACCGTTTATTTGGCCAATAATAAAACGGCGACCGATTGGTTATCGCGGCCAAAACGATATCTCGTGAATAATGAACTCGAGTCGATCTGCACAATAGAAATTTTTTTTTATAAGTTCAAAACGGCTGTAAATTATACTGCAGAGAGGGAAGGTACTCGCAGTCGTAGTCCCACGACCGAAAATTTTGAAAGTTATAATTTTATTTCCGTTGCGGCAAAAGTCTTCCTCAACATTTTCCTCTCACTGCGCACCCGACTTTGCGCATACAAGTGTAAAGCTCCAATAGCCCCGTGACGCATACAATTACACGCGCGCGCACGTCCTTCGTTTTTAAAACTTTTTTTCTAGTGGTTTATGCATAGTTCGCTATCCTCTCCCCCTTGTGGCCACTCCAGATTTGTTGAATTTAAAACCTCTCGCGATTTCGTCACGATTTATTTATACAGAATCACTCAAACCGATTCTTGTGTGTCTTGCAATATTATTATTATTATACTTGTTGTACATTATTGGGAGTACGAGGAATACCCGAATACGCGTATAGGTATAGGTCGTCATCCACCTACTATGTTGGACGTCATGTTGCTCAAAACAATATTATCTAACATGAAACGTGTAAGTCTTATGAGCGTATGCTCAAAAAACACTCTGGTCACATTTTAAGTGGCTCGCCTCTCTAACTTTCATTGACGTCCCTTAGCAATAATATGTGGAGCCCCTATTTAACACACATGTTTAAACATTTTCCACCCTTTAGAATGTTACTATACTTCTGACGGCCTTGGGACACTTGCCCCATTTGCAACCCTCTTGGCAAGACTCTGCTCATAACATGACGTATAAACATGACAGTTAACCACCCCCATATAAATTGTAGCAACACCACATAAGGAAATACGAAGGAATATATAAATACGAAACGGTAGTTATCTGCAAAATATGACCGGTTTAATAGTGAGCACTAATTATTTCAGACGTTTTTTCTTCTATTTTTTTTGAGAAGCTTGCTATTTTCACATTTTGTATTGCTTTTAGGGGCTTCACTCCTCTAGTTTGTTAATGTAATCCACTATCAACTTTTTTGAAATGGCAACTTATATTTTTTAATAAATATTATCTCTAAGCTGAACAATACTCTTACAACAAATTCGATGTACAATTACAATTTAGATCTTAAGATCTATAATCTCACGGTGTACATATTTTCATGGGTACATTGTATACTGCAATTAGCTTCTACACTTTAGTTCTCAAAATATTGAATGATTATCGTTCAATAGTATTCGATATCATTAAAAATAAATCATTATTATTTATCACAGATAAAAGTTGCCGTTAAGGGGCTGCACCGTAGCATATTTTAAGGAGTACTATTTAGGCAATTCATGAGACATATAAATTAATACTGTGTCTGTGTGTGAGTAGTAAATGAACATTAGTGTGCGTAATCCGTTATCGTTTCTGAGAATCGCTGCACGTCGAGTCGGGCAACCGCGCCGGAAGCAACTCTCACACGCGCACGCACATGTCAATACATCGCGAAAAATGAAATATATTATTGTTTGCATGACTATAAAACTAGTAAAAGCGGTAGTAAATTAATCATACTTCCGAAGTTCGATTGTAATTTCGAAAAAATGGTTGAATTTATAAACTTCTAGACTAAGCTTTTTAGGAATCACTTTTTTTTTATTTATAACCAGATGTACCCAAAATAAATACAAATGTAATGCAATTATTTCATGGGATTTCTAAAAAAAATGGTTATTTAAAGGTCATTTCAAATTTCAAATTGAAAATCGACTTCCTGAGAAACCTAGATATTTTATCAATGAATTCAAACATGCATAAAAAATTTAAATCGGACATTCCGAATTCCGAAGCATGTGAAATTTACCACCGCTTATTGGTCTAAAACGTTTGAAAAATGTGTGGGTCGCAGCCCCCTAAACATAATTGTGAAAAGAATATCGGTAATCTATAACTTTAGAAGGGTATATTTATATATCTAAAATACCTATTCCTAATTCGTTTTCATAAAAGAAAATGATCGTTTTAGAAATAAGTTAGTTTCCACTGTTAACATAATAATTATTAATTAATAACCAAGTATATGATTAATTATATTAATATATATATATTTCTCTATTTGCATCATCAAACGAAAGATAATATTATGTTTTTAGCATTAAAAATCACAAATAATTTTTATTTCTTGTCATCAATAGTATAATATTATATTAACTTAATCGTCGTGTTGTTTATAATAGGTAAAAGCATTCCAATGATATTGAAAACCATCTAAAGTATAAAATTATAGCTTATTTGAAGTGGTGTATAAAGTGGAATGGTACCGATTATAGATTGAACAAATTAAATAAACATTCGATTTATTAGGGAACTTTTGATTTTTTTTCTGTAAATGTAACTTCTTTACCGACAGATGAGATATTAAAATATTCTATCATATATATACAATTTTTTAAAATTATTTGTGTAGAAAAAAATCAAATTAAAAGTGTAACTGATGGCAATATAATATATATACCTAGTATAACTGTATAAGGTACTCAAAGTTTAAATAAAGATCAATAATAATAATGATGGAAAAAATGTATCGGTTATCAACTCGACGATCTGGTAAAAAAAAAAACGACTTCGGCCACGGCTTTGAGGTAAGTTAAGAAGTGGTGGATATAATTTGAATGTATTATTTAGCGAGTGGTGTGTGTATACTTTTATTGTAATTTTAAAATAATAATCAGAATAATATTGAGTTATTATTGTATTGATTATATTACATAATACTTATTATAATATTATTACAATAACGATGCAATGCTCAGAAACGGAATTTCGGCATTTTTTTATTTAGATGTAGGTACCTATGTAGTTATTATTCGTGTCGAGGAAAGATTATATGGAAATAAAAGACAAATACCAAACGTTACAACGTATATAACTTTATTACTTTTCAAATAAATTAAAAATATCATGTCCGTATATTATATTATATTGGCAATTGATTCTTACAAGCAAATTTTTTTTTTTTTTTTTGACTGGAGCTATAAAAATTATTCCTATCGATAAAAATATTACATATCTGCACGTTATTTTGGATAACAATAAAATGGTACGACATCGAACATTATAATAATAAAATTATTGTTTTAAATATCAAACGGTTACAAATTTTAATACCTACTATTACGATATTCACGTACCGTGCAGTTATATATTAATATATATAGATCTAATATACATTGTATGTAGGTATATGAAAAATTGTTACAAATGCAATCGATTCGGTTATATCGTCGTTGTCAACATCATTGATTAGTCTATAAAAAATAATCTTACAAGCATACGAGAGATCACAATAAAACGTTATAATATCTTCTATACCGTTATACTGATTTTTTCGTAAAATATATATACTCATATTTTTATAATCATAATAATATATTCATATATATAGGTAAGTGTACTAATGTGTATAGTCAAAAATTTGATCTGGCATTAACGATAGTCATACTACCAATAAAATAATAATAATATTAATAATAATAATAATACAAATAATAAAAGTATAATATAATGACTGTATATATTATTCTCGTGTGTATATTAAATAACTATTTATCGTACATATTTTTCTTATACGCTAATTAGGTTAACTTAATACGCCTACGTATTTGTTTGACATCATCAATACGTATGCATATAATAATAGATCAGCGATTGATTGGCAAATTATAACTTTATATAATGGCATAAATATTAAATCACAAACTACTTAATGATAGTATAATAATAATAATAATAATGATAATTGTATACAAGAAGGACTTAAAACAATACTTATGATCGCATCGAATAGCATAAACGTTTTGATACTCAAAAATTGACTAAAAAAAAAAAATAAATAAATAAAAGGGTTCTGACGATTTAAGTGTATGCGCTGAGGGAGAAGGACGAAGGGTGAACGGTTCGATTCTAAAAATGTCAATGGAAAATTGTTTAAACGTTTGCAATTGGAGGCGATCCTTTTTATCCCTTTGAAAATATCCCGAACACCAAAATGAAAGAAGTACAATAGTAAGAAAATGAAATATATTGCGCGTTTAAGAAGATGTATGATAGAAAAATCAACATAATATAATATAGAAGACGAATGAATGTGAAAAATAATATTATGTAGCGGAGCATTAGCGTGTCGAGTGGTGTGCTCAGAAAAGTATAATAATTCCGTTTGATTGAAGGCTTCAAATGTACATGTACCTATAAAACTAAAAATTGGCATCTATTTTGTACAGGCGTTAACAAAAAAAAAAAATACAATTACATTTTTTTGGTTCTCGACAAGAACACATACGATACGTAGGTATAGTATAGGTACTATTATGTACATCGAGCTATTTAATACGTATATGGGCTGTGTGATAATTAAAAAAAATTTAAATAAACTTATTTTACACGATAATTTTACGATACAATATTATAATAAAAAAAAAAAAAAGTTACGCGAGAGATAACACCGCGGTGACGAGGATAATAATTCAATATCGTATGTCGCTGTCGGAAATGAAACACTCGTCCCAATAAGTACTGTACACCAACCCACATACACACACGCATACACAGCCACCACGTGATCGTACGTATTGGATGATATCCGGGATGGGGAGGGGGAGAGGGGAATAATAAAGGAAGCGTATACATTTAATCTATCAGTCGATGAGTCTATCTGAAACACAAAAAAAAACAAACACATAAATTAGAAAAATAAACCTCGTTTAAATATACCTATATTATATACAATATAGGCAGGTAGGTATACATAATAATATTATAATGATATCATTTATTAAGCATGCACGACCCATTTTTATGCGCTTCAGTTGTGCAAAATCATCAAAACGGTGAGAGGGTATGCCTAAAATATCACTTTGCACATAATATTATATTATTATGAATTATATTATAATATTATAACAATATAATAATATTATATGATAATATTATTATGTAAACAAAAACCAAGTATAATATTGCAATAGTCCGGACGGACATTTCACTGACCTGTGGTCCCTAACGCGCACGAGTGTCCTCGGCGCGACGGTGCGTCCCTATATATAATAGATGTGTGTGTGTGTATGTGTGTGTGTGTATATATATTATCATATAATATTATATACAATACGCATGCGTCATACGTATATACGCACTACACGGCGCATCCTTTTTTCACGCCGTACAGGACCTTGAGCTCGGGGAGTATGACTTTCTTGATGAGACTGTACGTCTTGGACGCCAGCACCTGTCGGGCAGGGTCTTTTTTCAGCGTCTTGATGCCCGGCTTGTGCGTCAGGAAAGCGTTGTCCAGTATGTGGAACTCGTAGTCGAGCACGCACAGCGTGTAACCCTGTGTGCACAGAACAATAGAACGAGACAATGAGAACCAATCGCACTAATTATTATTATATAGGTAGGTAGCAATTATAATATTATCGTGGCACCTTTTACCCCCCCCCCCCAATTATAACGGAAGGACCGCTGACAGAACATTATACAATCCCCTGGGCGGTAAATAAATTATTACTCGATATGATCATATTATAATATTGTGATATTTTTATGATGGCGGATTAGCATATATGTACCTACATTATATTATTATTATTAAGAGACGATGATCGATTAATGTTATTATTTTCGTGAAGACGTCCTTCGGGACCAATAAAACCCCTTCGGTATGATATAATACGTTTATACTTTTATGGGTATAGGCACACAGAAAATGGCATAATGTTCTTAAAGATTTTTAAATTGGGACTTGAAAGGTATTTTTTAGTAATTTTTATCGATTTATTGCGAAACAATTGAAATGGCATTAATAACAATAATACTAGTAATGAGTACGTTTAGTATTGCAAAAAATAATTTTAAAATTATAAATTTATCCTGATTATAAAATATGGGACTATCTACTAGTATCTAGAAGTACCAGCTGTGTAACTTATATTATTAATGTTTCCTCGAATATGCAAAGACAAAATATTATCAACTATCGAATCTACATGTAACAAAAGGTCTACATATTCAATCAGAATTACTTCAAGTTAATTAAAGAAAAATATGCACATATTATACCAATCCGGATCCTACTCACTATACTGTAAATATTACAATAATTATTAACGTTATTGCTAGTGACGATCTGTACACAAGCTCGCATACCTGAGTCATTTTGTCCATTTTACCCTCCCAGCTCAGTCTCTCGTCGTACAACGGATCGTTGTGTGTTCCGATGAATATCGGCTCCCAGTGCAGATGATATCCGGTCCGCTTTCCCGTGTGGAACACGCTGACACCAGGTTTGGGCTTGGCGCTGGCCCATTCCTTGAACTTGGGCACCGTGTGACAGTCGGGACACACTTTTTTGTGAAAAGTGATAGCCGAACCGTTTTTAAGCATCGACACCTGTTGTAGAAAAAAAATGATTTAATCAAAAATTGCAAAGGCCGTCGTATGTATGTACAAAATAAATTTATTGCAACGTATTGGCACGCATAATATTTTAAAACAGTATACTATCAGGTTTGTATCAGAGAAAACGAGAGACCGGTATAGACGATGACGACAACGACAAAGATCAAAAGCCTGTAAAAACTGCAAAGTGAAAGTTTATAATATCGTAACATTTGTATTTTGTGCAAACAGACGTGGTTATATAGACGGGCGCCAGCAGCCAGAGGACGAGACATTTGCAGTAACAAGGGAGAAGGTGATCGTCTTGGGCCTAGTTCCGAAAAATAAAATTATGTATCGATATCAAATTACGCTTACAACATCAAGTTGAAGGTCTTAAATAAAGTTTTTTTCTAAAACTGAGTTTAAATACATTTTATTAAATATTAAGAGTTATACCTACCTAAATATTAATGACTACCTAATAATAATTAACATACCTATAGGTAAATAAAATATATTTACAGGTACAAATGGGTATTATTATAATGGTACAGTTACAGATATTATGCACCTATTGGCTATTACTGACAAAATTATGAATATTGATGTATGGGAGGGGAGGGGGTTATTGTGGTAGGACTCACAACTTTGTATTACAAATGCTTGTGAAATAGCCCTCGCCCCTCCTCATTTGAAACACTTCTGGATCCGCCACCAGGACGAGATCGGTATAAAGCTGTTTTGTTTTGTCTTTAATCATGCCTATTGTATCCGGCACCGAAGATACGGTTATTATTTTGTACAACATGGCGACGCGGTCATGTTCTCGTGACGGAATCCATAAATATTATAATACTCAATGTTCGTATAATTTCATGTAGGTAGGTAGTAGGTTAGTAGGTACACCCCGTACACTTATTATATTATACATCGTCTACTTGTCTCGACGTGTTTGTCTCCGTTGGTGCAGCCTCACTTCTTATTCTAATTAGTATATTTTAGATTGTAAGTGGAACGATATAATATAAAAGGTCGTAAAAGTCGTCTGATTATCAATTTATATAAAAAGGGTTTGTGATTCTCGTCTGAGAAAAAAAGAAGTCGCGGTTCCTGATTGTTTGTTAAATTATTTTATTAAAACAAATTATCTTCCGGTTGTTTTGCGGTCAAATTAATTTCCACCACACGCGTCAGGATTATAATGTAATAATGTAATCTTGATAAAAGGCGAATACCATGGACTATTATTTCATTAACAATATTATTTTAATGGTACGTCCACCCGGACGAACGATGTCACGGATTAATGCCGAACTCCACCGCCGCCACCACCTACGACCCCGTCGGCAGAGCGACTCAGCTTTTGTTTCATTCCATCCGCGCCGACACGTCTCTTCACTTCTCACCGTGCCATTAATATTATTATAATAACATCGATGGGGGAAGACGAAACTTTTATAATTCTATTGCCGAGGGTGGGGTGGCAAACCACCAGTCACCACCCATCCCCACCCGACCGGTGGAGTATTAAAAAGCGTTTTATAAGGATTATTACGCCCGGGAACTTCACCGCGGAGTATTATAGTCATTTGGCATTCGCGTTTCGCAAAGGTCGCGGTACTCGCGAGTCGCGATAACAGTTTTAATTGTTATTATTATTATTATTCCTATAAAATAATAAATAATATACTAAACAGAACAATAATTTTACATTCGCTCCGAGTTCCAAACTAGTTTTTGTTATTTTTTCTTTCAATAATAATTCCAACGAGGCTATATTAAAAAATATAGAGACAAACGGGTTTCCTCCTCGTGACCGTTGGCTGCACATAGATCGTTTATTATATTATTATCAAGACTATGGCTACACGGATTCGGGTAGATGGATAACTTTTATAACATAAAACACGTACCTACACGACGACGACATAAATCATACGCGTTTTGGATATTATTATTATTATTATTATTTTCCTAATACGAGTTCGGCCGCCTGTTATATAAATGTGTAATCATCGACATCGTCTCATTATTATATGCGCTCGTAATTTACGACGAAATCAATTACGCTCCGGAAACGCGTATTTTCCATGTATTAACCGGTGAATATTCTGTCCCGGGGAGGAATCCATTATGACAATATAATATAGTTAATAGTTATTATACTACACTGGCGGTATGTAGGAGAAAATTAAAAAAATAAAACGACTAATAAATAATACGACGCGGTAAACGCCAAAGCAATCGTTTTGAATGTCTAAAGATGATATTAATATCCGTTATGCGAGTTACCTATATTATGTACAGGTACTATTAATGCAATATAATAATACTATACGATAAACATAATAATATTGTAGTCACGTGGCAGAGAATCTATTTATATCGATCGAAACGTCGACTGTGGTCTGCAGTCGTGGGAGGGGGTGTGAATAACAAAAATAAAATAATACTGTAATATAGTTACAACTTGATGATACATTTATTAAATTATAATTACCTACACGCTTGTGCTTACGATGTAGTATATAATATTATCATCATCAACCTTGGAATGTGTTACACAAACGGCGGCGGTGTTTGTCAATTATTATTATTTTATAGTGTAACATATATATATACAGCTCTGAACCCATTATAAATATTGTAATAATAATATGTATTATAATTATTAGATATTATTTCGTGGTTTTCCGTCGTTTTTTTTTCGGTGGACAACCGCGTTTCACATCCAAGCGAAGACAGTACTAACTACATCATAACACGATAAAATATGTACATTAATATATTGTTACAATATATAGTCGAATAGTGTGGCGGTATGGCAAAAGTGCTGCCTGCCCGTCGACGTTCATAATAATATAAAATATTCAGGTGAAAAGTTTCCCCCCCCCCGTTATTACGTCGTTATAATTTTGGTAAAATTGTTTTGAACTAATCGGTTCCATTAATCAGAATTATTATTATTAAAATTAAAAACAATTTGTTTGAATTTCAAATCATTATGACAAAACGTGAAAAATATATTATTACTAGTGTTATTTGGCTTCGTAAATATTTTACGATCAGACTTTTTCGAACAGGTTTTTTTCGTCTACTTAAAATTATATAATACAATTGATGACAAGTAAATTATACAGGTCGTCGTCATCGTCGTCGGCGTCCCTCCAATCGGACCCGCGACGAATCTCAAGGCAACCAATTCCAGAAAACATTCGTTATGGTGTCGCACTAATATAATAATAATATAATATATATTTTTTTTCGCATATTACTAAATTATACATATTATACTTGTGCAATTTCATACATGAAGTCAGGTAGGTACCTAATAGTAGTGTTGACAAAAAATATATAATATTTAACTCTAAAAGTTAAATTAAATGACAAAAACAGCCCAACAATTTGAAAAGGTTTAAAAAAAATTAACTTTTCAATTTGAACTAATATACGTGTACCGAATGAGCACCTACACGAGGAGCTATGGACACATGCAAGTGAAATTTTTCGTTCGTATTATCATTCTACAATGTCGGTTATAGTGGAAAAGCTTTTGGGAAGCGTATTATTCTCGTAAAAAACCACTGAAACGAACCGACTGAAGATTTATTGCAAAATATAAAAACGTTTTTACTGGTATTTCAAAACGTCTATGGGCAGCGGCGGATACCTGCGCTCCCCGAAATGGTATAATAATAATAATAGTGATAATAATATAATGCATCCTTTTCTTTTCTTTATTTTTCGTTCTTGCCCTCTATTGTGTATCCACAGAGCTACAACAACCTTGCGGTTCGTCAATGGAACCATAATTCAAATATATACGTATTTGTTTATAAAATTCCTATTGTTCTGCGGACGAGCGTATTTGGTACCTAATGCAGTAGTACATATTATTATTATTACAATACACGCGCATAATAAAATATACCTATATAACATTGTTACATTGAGATGCCCGCGGCCAAGATAATATTATATCCGCGTGAGGATGGCGATGACACGATAACGATCGGATTATGCACTACTAGGTACTTATAATATACAGGGTGATTCATCAAGCACGCGCACCTCCATTTTAGACTTTTATTTATTCAAATTTTGATTTTAAAATTTTCAGGAAGGTAATCTTTAAGTCAATTTTTTCATAATAATATACAAACTATTGGATTTTTTAGTTCTTAAAGATTGATGATTCAAAGATTACTATTTCAATTAAGATTACATTAACATTAAAAAAAATCCATTTGTTAAACAATTTACAGTAAAAAATAAGAATGGGCAACCTCCGTGCGCAGTGGCAAAAAATCCGAGTATTGAAAATGTGGTCTTTAAGTAGGCACCTGGCTGCATTTAGAAATTCCGAAAATCATAATTAAATTAAATTAGTGATTAAAAGGATATTAAGATTACGCACACCTTCATGTGTTGTCTCAGTCATGCAAATGTACAACATTGCAATGACCGTTTTGCTTTAGACAACTCTACTCACTCTATATTTTTAGTAGAATTGCCAATCTTTCACGAAGCATAGGGAAGAATTTTACAATGGCGTTTTAATTTATTTGATAGCACTAACTAAAATATTTTTTTTATAATTAAATGAAAAAAACAACAAAATAAACCTAATGTTCTCGAGCTGATAACTTTAATTGTATTTATGTTATTCAAATAATAAAAAAAGACCACTGCTCAGACAAAGTTCTTCCCCGTGCGTTGTGGAACTTTGGTAAAAATTGTACTATAAACGTAGAGTGAGTAAAGTTGACCCGCGCAAAACAGTTGTTGTCATATGTGGTATAAGACGGAGACAACACGTGCGAGTGTAAAGTCCTCTATTAATAAGCATTGAGTGACTAACGGGTGAACAAGCTTGGTGAATCACCACCCTGTATATACATGATATTATAATATAGTATGTATAATGTGCCTAATAATATACTAAGCACTCGCTCATACTATTACTATCTGTGCATTTTACGTATACCCACCCATAATTAATGTGATGC